GCACACAATGTAATGCGAGTAATCTCATAAATGTGCATAATGTGAATTGGAAAATGTTCTTCATGTGGTGTTGTGAACCCCAGAGACTGTGAATTCAATCAAACTATACTGTATTTGGGCAAAAATTCATCCATTACAATAGATGCAAGTCTAGTTATAATATTATGCAATATATAACAGTAGTTCACAACCAGTAGAATGTAAAAAAGCAAATAATACAATATGTACAACTAATCATATATTTAAGACTGGTCTTATAAAAGCAGTTGAATAGAAAATGCTGTGTTGCTGTTGACATTAAACATTACAGTATTTTGGCACAAATTTAAAGGGACAGTTTACTCAAAACTGAAAATCTTTTACTCACCCTTCATTGTTCAAAACCTATGTGAGATTCTATCTTTTGTTAAATACAAAAGAGGATATTTTGAGGAATGTTGGTAGCTGGCACCTATTGACTTCCATAGTACTTGTTTTTCCTTCTATGGATGTCAATGGTTACTAGTTTTCAACTTTCTTCAAAATATCTTTCGTGTTCAACAGAAAAAATAGAAATGATGAGGTAATTTTCAACTTTGGGTGAACTATCTCTTTAACTGTTGATCAAAGACAATTTATATTATTGGGCAATCTCTAACTGTAGCTGCATGAAATACTAATGGCAAATATGATGCAATTCATTGCATAATAAAACAACTTCTATTAAATTTTAAATGATTAACAGACTGGTATAGTTGTTAGAGTCGAAATGCTTATTATAATTTGCCACAATGCTTCAAAGTAGGGCTGCACAATATATCGTTTCAGCATCGATACGGTAATGTGCACAATCGCAATAGTCGCATCTTAAGATATGCAGTGCTGAATCTTATGCCGAATTCAGACTGCAAGATTTTAGCCCTGATATTGACTCTCCGACAGGTTTTGAGAAATCATAGACAAATGCCTGAAATCACAGGTAAATCTCTGATCGTTCACATGAGTAACAATCACACAGTGTGAACTATCAAAGACGCCATCTAAGAGAATCACAGATAAGTTGCCGACACCAGTGAGATATCTGACATGCTGAATATCTGGTGTCATGTGAAATGTGTTCCAATTAAAAATAACATCGGCGATTACAAATAGCCAATGAGAGCACAGCATCCACTAGTGTGGGTATCTGCAGGCAAGCGGGAACTTGGGGGAGAAGTTAAACAAGCTTCTATTCAGTCTAGGGTTGTAACAATATACCGGTATGACGGTTTACCACGATTTGAACGTGCACGATTATCATACCATGAACAATTGCATATCAACGGTTTTAACCCTTAAAGACCGAGACAGCCGCCCGCGGCTAAAAATAAGTATTGCTCTTAAATGTTTAATAACTTTTGATCCGCTGATCCGATTCATACAATTCAAAGATTGGCATAAAGAAGAGAATCTCAGCTTTCCAGTGATGTATCACATAACATTCGCGGACTTTCAGAGGCTCCGGAATCAGTGCGGTTACGTCATCAACATTTGACAACGCTGATTTGACAAAGAAACGCTCGTCACTGTGTCTCCGGACAAATCAGACATGATACATCGATGCATTGTCCCTCCTCCATGCCCAGATTGGTTCAAACTCGCTATATCACAACCAATAAGCATAGGTTTCGCTTTTGTTTGTGGACCAAGCTTTTTGAACAACACGGAATGAGAGAAAGGCATACATTTATGCGCGGCTAAATAAAACGCAAAAAAAAAAAGTTTTGCATGAAATAATTCTCATACTAAGTACTTTTGCATGCACAGCAGCACAGAAACATGACAAAACAGTGACACAGCAAAGACGAACTGCTGCTCTTGCTGTTTTCAAAAGACGCAAATGAAGATGCAGCTGTTTGTCTGCATTGCATACAACCATATCCAAATCCATATCCACAGACAACCATATCCATGCTGGCACATAAACCCTAAGGATGTTCCATATTGAATCTAGTTTCGTTATGTAACTATTTATAGTATAGTAAATATTTATATCTATTTTTTACTGAGGATTTGCACCATGTTTATTTGGACTTTATTTGGACTTTGACACATTATTTAATATTTTCTTATTTTTATTTGTTCATTGTATGTGGTGTTGTTTATAGTAACTAAAAATATATTGTATGGAAAAAGTCAAATTTGCTTCACTGTTCTATTATTTTGTAACATTTGTAACATACCGTATACCGCGAAACCGTCAAACCGTGGTATTGTTTTAGACGATTATCATACCGTGAAAAATTCATACCGTTACAACCCTAATTCAGTCTATCCTGTTATCACAAGAAAATAGATTTTTATAACATAACTAAGTGAGCAAAGTATACACGGACTGCTCAGCAGCCCTGCACGCACTGCTTGACATGAATGAATCTGTTAATGATATAACTGTGCTGTTCTCACAGGTGGTGTCTGATATTGCACTAATGTTTTTGACATACACTGTACCATATTATATACATACATCATGTTAATAGCAATACCGGTCTTTTTATGAGTAGTGATATTAGTTTTCTCAGTGCAAGCCCGTTTGCGATGGTGTACGTGGTGTTCAATTTTACAGATAGCTGCCACTTGCACTGCGGACAGCATCTGGCGATTATATGAAGGATTAAACAGAAGCTCTCACGCTAGATGTGGCAAGCAGTTACCTGAAAATTCCATCCCACAGACTTTTCATAGCGGACTTGAAGCCAATGGAAGTCTTTTATCCACTTTTCTAAAAGTGTAGATGGTGGATTAACATTCAGCACATGATTACTAGTAAGATGTGTCATTATTTGTAACTTTAGATGCCTTGGTTTCTAAAACAAAATCTGTCAGTTTTATCTTCAACGCTTTACAATTTTTCGCGGTAGTAGCCCTCTCTGTCATCCCAAGCCAGAAGGCATTGACTGAGTGATTGACAGCTGATATTTCAGTGCTAGTTCAGTGGGCCAATAAGAAGAGCGCGAAGGCGGGGCAAGCATTACGGACTTGGCTTTGTTTACTGCAGCAAGTTGCTATGAAAACTGTTTTAAACCATTTCTAAGCGCTGCGTTTCGTGTTTCAAGTGCAGAGAAGCATTCTGCGTGAATGTCTCCCAAATCCGCACATGTGGTGAACATTTTGCAGTAAAAACTGATCGCACACAACAATTTTATGCAAATATATTTTGAGGTCGCATAGATAAAATTTCGGGCGCATATGCGACCAAAATGGTCGCAATTTCGAGCCCTGCTCTGTGGAAATAGCGCCGTTTGGACGGCATTTTAGCTTTCCCTGGCCACCCCCCATTGCTACGCAGGGTGTGTACGCAAGGTGAATGCACGTAACCGGAAACCCTTGGGATCTCACTAACCCGGATGTATTTTTTTGTAGTCCGCAAACTGCCTTCGCTCTAGGCTTCGCTAAGCTAACTCTGTAAAAGCCAAGGTCTCCCTTTGCATTGAACTATGAGCATATTACATTCAGAGATGTTGTTTATTTTCACACAGCTGCATTACACATCAACTAAAGGTTAGAAATATGATATCCTAGTGGACCACCCCTTTAAATAAAATTTGAAATAACATGTCATTAAGAATAAAAATATTGCTGGCTTTGCATCCAATTCAAATTGACAGTAATTTGGCACAAATTCAAGTTACCTGATTTACTCAAAAAATACAAATAAAATCATGAAAAAACTACACAATGTAGACTAAAACACAAGCCAGACGGCTGCACACTAGGACTAAGCCAGTTTGTGTCAACCATAATGAACTTCCTTCTATGAATTATTGGCTTCCAAAAGATCAAAACTATTGGAATTCAGGAGGCGTTATTGTACAATTTCATTACAATGCTGGGTCACCACTTCATGTCTAATGTAAAGTCCTGAAGCAGAACCGCTCAAGAATCACTGCTATAGAGCCAGACAAAGAGAAGGACATCAAGCAAATATGCAAACATCGCAAATTGCATCAAAGTTTGAATAATACGAAATCTTTCCAGAGCAAGTGAAATCAGACATTGCATTATTAAAGCCTGGTAGAGGGAGACTGGAGATGAGCGAGGGGTGGGGAAGGATGGAGAGAGATAGTGAAAGATGTTCCCTCGCACGTGTAACAGATGAGTCACATGGATCCTCGTCAAAATTTGATCAATTTTTAATGCTATAACATTTTATCATGCTTGCACTCTCAGAGCCCTCAAGTGTCTTTTACAGTGAGATTTTAGTAGCGGTGCATTTTGATATCAGCACTATTAGGCGTGGCTGGCAAAGCGAAGAATTTCACATCATCTGCCTGTTTTAATGACCTAGACTCCTTTGTGTTAATGCACACTGGGGTTTGTATTAATAAATAAGAGTGTACTACATATATAAACATGCTTTGCTTCTATATTGTATACATATATTCAATAACGATGCGGTTACTTATATGCATTGACTGTATAGATAATAATCTGTAAGATTAATATGCATCAATGCATTCAGATCATCAATATACTGAAGCTCAGAAACTAATGTGGCTCGGTTTGGGACAGAGCATGGCTAACAGCGCAGAGTGTCTGTAATAATGAATGGAAAAATGTACCTTAAAAAATTATCAAACCGAAACATTCTGCATATGCTTATATGTAAAAAGATCTATGCATCAAGTGTGCCAGAGATCGAATAACCATGAGTCCAGTTTATGTCAGTTGATTCCTGATCTCAGGCAGGCACATATAGACGTTTTAGCTGACAACTGGCTTAGTAGGTTTTAGGTAATGCATATCATTGGGGTGTAAAACATCGGGTGTGAAGTGCAATTAAATAAGGTCTGTTAAGTAAAAACAACAACAACATAGTAATCGACTGTAAATATGGCTGTATTATTGATTATATAGTAGTTTTTAAAATGTAAAAAGCACGAGATTACACCTCACACACTCGAATCGTGTAGCACAAAGCATTGACCTGCTCGCACAACAATACAAATGTTCCGCAGGGTTTCTGAAAGGATTGTGGATACCTGTTCATTCCCGGCCCGTGTCCGGTGCCCATTCCCCCGGCAGGCGCTCCATTGCTCGGCTTGTGGAGCTGTCCGCCGCCCGCTGGTGCTGAAATGGAAGCCGGGGCTCCAGCCGCGGGGACAGCGCCTCCCGGTTGCCCCGGCTGTCCCTCTCCTTCGAGGCTCGCTTCATTCCCCATAGTCCCTCTGTGTGAGGCGGAGGACAAAGACGAGATCTGCTGACGAGCGTCTGATTGGGGTGTATTTAAACACTGGGAGAAAACTCAGCGCAGCTCCTCTTCCGCCATCATCACCTACAATCCAGCATCCTGAGCGGAGCGCGCACGCGTGCGGCCAACGGAAGGGCTCGACCGAGCACGCGCGGAGCCGGGAGCGCGCAAAGGAGGAGCGGCGTGTACGCGCTCGTGTCCTAGATCTACAGTCCTGTAGACTCGAGCCTTGGAGAAAGGCACGGCATAGATTACCAGCGGCTTCCACTAACAACAAAGGTAATAATAAAGCGTATTCTGAGCTGGGATAAGTTTGGATATATTTGTTTTTAAAAATATATATAGTTATCCATATTTTAACTAAATAAAATGGTACTGAAAATAATTCTATTTAAATGAGCAAATCATTTTGTAGTGTGGCATACTGATTTATTTTTTATACTTATAAAACCCTAATATATTATTTATTGAATAAGCTAAATAGGAGCAAATACGTGTATTCTTCTTCTTATTATTATATAGCAGCATTAACATTTTATATTTAATAATTGATATAAGCAGTATATTTACAAAATATATAATTTATTATAACAATTATTTACCTGTTAAAAATGCACTTGATTATCTGTCATTAGGTGCAGATGCAGTAGCAGTAATATATTCAGAAATCAAATTATAAATTCATTGCAGGTAAATGCAGTTGTATTTATTTAACCCAGCAATTGAAGATGTCCATATTTTATCATCCAAATAAATTATTATTGAATAAAAATAGTCAAGCAACCAATAAGTCTTTAGTGTAGGATACTGAAATATTTTGTATATTTATATAATGTAAATTATTTACTGAATAAGCTGAATGTGTTTTCTATTATCCTTATTTTGCAGCATTAACATTTTATATTTAATAATTGATATAAGTAATATATTCATAAAATATTAGTATTTTGTTAGTGGCAGTAGTAAACATTAGTATTACCAGTAATAGTACCAATAGTAATACTAAAAATGTTTAAATGTTCTATTTATTAATTTATGCATTATTCCTTTTTAACACTAAAAACTATTATTTACCTGTAAAAAATGAACCTGATTATCTGTTATTAGAAGCAGATGCAGTAGCAGTAATATATTCATAAATATTATTATAAAATCACGGAAGGTAAATGCATATTTGTATTTAACCCAGCAGTTGGAGATGTATATATTTTATCCAAATAAATTATTATTGGAAAAAATTGAAAATCAATTATTTTCTAGTGTAGAATACTGTATTTTTTTTTTTATAAAACGTAAATGTATTATTTACTGAATAAGCTGAATGTGTTTTCTTATTATCATCATTTAGCAGCACTAATATATTTTATATTTAATAAATGATAAGCAATACAATTACAAAATGTATTATTTTATTTGTGGCAGTAGCAAACATTAGTATTAGTAATAGTACCAATAGTAATACTAAGCACTATCGTAGTTACTAAATTATTAATTACTCCTTTTTATCACTATCATTTACTTGTTTATCTGTTATTAGGAGCAGAGGCAGTAGTGGTAATATATTCATAAATAAAATGATAAATTCATTGCATCATTTCATTTATTAATTTAATTAATACTACTAATACTACTAGTAGTCATTTTAATAATAATAAAAATAATACCTCTGCATTAAATTGGATCAAATTAAAATAATAAAAACATTAACCCAGCAATTAGAGTTGTCCATATTTTATCTAAATAAATATTTATTGGAAAAAATTATATAAATGAAACAATTTTATATTTATAATATATGTATATATGTATATGTATATATATATATGTTATACATAGCAATGTATATGTATATATATATGTAATAGTATCTTACAAAATATAAATCCTAAAAGTAAACTAATATAAGTGTATTCTTAATACCATTATAGTATCAATAACAATTATATTTTACAAATATTTTATTTTAATAAAGTTTTTTTTTTTTTACTTCAAATAAGGAACATAATTATAACAATTTTTATTAGCGGTGCAAGTAAACATTGCTATTACCAGTAATACTTCCAATAATAAACCTAGTAATACTAATAACACTTTTATTATTTTATTTACTAATTTCTAAATCAAATCACAATCACTAAACCATATTTAAACACTATACTAATTCTAAAAACAACCATTTTATTATTTAGCTGGGCCATAGCTGTCAGGTGTACGTTTGAGGAAGTAAAAAATACATTAATAATAAGAATGCAATTTATTAATAAATGTATAAATTAATTTTTAAAATATGTTAAGCATATTGGTTTTAAACACCGGCAAAACGTAGTTGCCACCTTAATTAACAATCTGCAATTAACAAGTTAAATTTACAATGCATTACAAATGAATCTGAATACCAGTTCTCCTTGATCAAGAAAAAATTGTCAAAGTTTCAGCAGTCACCACTGAACATCTGCATCCGAAGAGTTTAATATTCAGTTAACCTTTAAAGCAAAGTAAAATATTAATGCTTCATGCCGCAAAAAGGGGAAGTGATTTTTGTTGTGATCCAGCGCAAAAGAGGACGTCTGCAGCAAAAAAAAAAAAAAAAAAGCATGAGCTCAGCAGATAAAGGATGAAACTCTTTCAAAGTCACCATACTTTTCTCCCAGATGGAGAAATTGTCATTTCACACCCAAGCAGACATGCTCAAATCATCAATCAGTTAAATCAATACTAATTCTGACTCCGTCCCAAGCTGTTGCAGCAGAGACACCCAGACTAATCCATGACTGCTACAATCCCTATAGCAGAAGTCTCAGATTCACCTGCACGACAAGAAAAAGGCAAGAGAAGAAGTAAAGATAAAAACACAAAAATCTGCTTTAACTGTAAACAGATTGAATATACACTCACCGGCCACTTTATTAGGTACACCTGTCCAACTGCTCGTTAACAAATTTCTAATTAGCCAATCACATGGCAGCAACTCAATGCATTTAGGCAAGTAGACATGGTCAAGGAGATCTGCTGCAGTCCAAACCGAGCATCAGAATGGGGAAGAAAGGTGATTTAAGTGACTTTGAACATGGCATGGTTGTTGGTGCCAGACAGGCTGGTGTCTTAGTATTTTAGAAACTGTTGATGTACTGGGATTGTCACACACAACCATCTCTAGGGTTTATAGAGGATGGTGTGAAAAAGAGGAAATATCCAGTGGGCGGCAGTTCTGTGGTGGCAATATTTTCTTGCCACACTTTGAGCCCATTAATACCAATTGAGCATTGTGTCAACGCCACAGCCTACCTGAGTATTGTTGCTGACCATGTCCGTCCCTTTATGACCACAGTGTACCCATCTTCTGATGGCTACTTCCAGCAGGATAACACACCATGTCATAAAAAGCAAATAATCTCAGACTGGTTTCTTGTACCTGACAAAGAGTCCACTTTACTGAAATGGTCTCCCCAGTCACCAGATCTCAATCCAATAGAGCACCTTTGGGATGTGGTGGAACAAGAGATTCACATCATGGATGTGCAGCCGACAAATCTGCAGCAACTGTGTGATGCCATCATGTCAATATGGACCAAAATCTCTGAGGAATATCTCCAGTACCTTGTTGAATCTAAGCCACAAAGGATTAAGGCAGTTCTGAAGACAAAAGAGGGTCCAGCCTGGTACTAGTGTGGTGTATCCAATAAAAAGGCCGGTGAGTGTACGTCAATGCCTTTTCAACAAGCTCTTCCAATCTATTTCATAAAAACAATAGTTTAAAGGTATACATTAAATTGTTTAAAATTGTGCCTTCATCGTTAAGAAATTGATAGTTATTAGTAACATAATATTACATTATATTGATTTATGAGGATTTGTGACACTGAAGACTGTAGAATGATGCTGAAAATAGGCATTTGAATCCTACATTCTATATTTATATATTTCACATAATTATTAGTGCTTCATTAATGCAGTCTCTGATCAGTGTGGTATCCAGGAGAGAGATTAGGAGTTCATTCAAGTTCTTCAAGGCAACCAAGTTTAAAACCCTGAACGCAGAGGTCAGATCCTCAGACCGAATGCATCTTCACTCAGAGAATAGAAGAATTCTGAACTACAAATCACATCATTCATAGTAAAGATCAGAAATTTTGGGTTAGGAGTGTGCTAAACACATATGTGTATTTCATTTAGTTAATTTTTTCCATAATTTACTCAATAAAACTGTATAAACTGTATTTAATTTTTAAATTTAATTTAGCTTTTTCCTTTCTAGTTATTTTTATAAAACTATTTGACCTTCAGATCTAAACCCATTTACATTGCAATATTTCACACCAGTGTTATTTAAGCAAAAAGCTAATGTGTTAACAATCTAATATTTTGTTGCCAAGCTATCAAAAATGTTGTTTTTTGAAACCAACAAATCATATTTTTTCCAGATATCCCAAAATATATATCCGATATTTTCCAAAATAGAATGAATGCATTCTACAAAATTGTATACACTACCTGACAAAGGTCTTGCCGCCTTAGTTTTAGGAAAACCAAATAATAACTCGATCATTTGCTGTCAGAAGAGGCCTATGAATAAGGCAAAGGCCTCTAAATTATAGTTATTTTAACAAAAATATGATTGTCTTTTTTTTTTTATTTAACTAGGACAGTAAGGTCTGACTTTGCTTAGGCAAAAGTCTTGTCACTTAACAGAGATAATGTACAGAATATATGTCATGCTGCAGTGGAAGAAGAATGAATTTTGTGTCTGACTCCCATGAGCTTAGAGGACTGCATCCATACATCTCTGCAATGACTCAAATCACTTATTAATAAAGTCATCTGGAATGCCAAAGAAAGTGTTCTTGCAGGACTCCCAGAGTTCATCAAGATTCTTTGGATTCATCTTCAATATTTCCACCATCTTACCCCAGATATGCTCAATAATGTTCATATGTTTGGTGACTGGGCTGGCCAATCCTGGAGCACCTTGGCCTTCTTTGCTTTCAGGAACTTTGATGTGGAGGCTGAAATATGAGAAGAAGCGCTATCCTGCTGAAGAATTCACCCTCTCCTGTGGTTTTTAATGTAATGGGGAGCACAAATGCCTTGATGCCTCAGGCTGTTGATGTTGCCATCCACTCTGCAGATCTCTCACACACCCCCATACTGAATGTAA